ATTCCACAGCAGGAAGTCCACGCACCCTTTGTGAAGCATCGCATCTCTTTCCACACAGCAGCATTCGTCGTGAATTTCCTGCTTCCTCGGCAAATATTTGCCCGCACACCCAAACCGCCCAATGCGTATCTATGCCCCGAAGTACGAAAACAGTTCAAGCCACAGGTGGATGCACGCAGGTCACAGAAGGCACAATAATCGACGGGCGTGAATATCCAAGCTACCTGCCACACTATTTGCGCTGTGGACCCAACTAGCTATTGTCTCTGTACATACTCGTTTCCATACGTGACAAGCCTGACGCTGGCCTGCGCACCAAAGTACGAAGGCAGCTCAAACGACAGGCGTGTACTCGTTTCCATACGCGACAAGCCTGACGCTGGCCTACGCACCAAAGTACGAAGGCAGCTCAAACGACAGGCGTGTACAGATCGGCAACAGTAACACACTGTACGCACCTCCTGTTAAATATCACTTGTACTGTTCTCACACTTCATCCTGCATGCCCCTCATTGCTGTCGCTGGAAATATCCGTGTTTTCCAGCGTAGGTTTTGACAGATCTGATATAGTCGCCAAAGTAGGACGAAAGTAAAGCCTGCACGTGCGAGGGGATGCGGGATAGGGGTCGGGATGAGCAATAATTTCCTGTGGATCAGCACATTTACTGGCAAGCTTTGCACGCCAGAAACGCCCATATTTGCTGCCCCAGGAAATATGTATTGCCATACCCAGCGACGTTATGCCTGCCACGTCCACAGAACAGTATGTAGCTGAAACAACAGGTGTGTAAATACAGGACATGTCAGAGAATGCAACGAACCTCCTGTGGCCCACCAGATGCAGTCTCACACACCACTGCGCACAACGAGTTTCTCTTACTGCGAATAATTTGTTAGCATACAGTAAAGCAGTTCGACGTTGGCCTATGATCTAAAATACCAATACGGCTCAAGCCACTTGTGAGTGCAGGCAGGCCACCGCAGGCAGCGGATACACCGGCTACAACTCGCCATATGCTGTGCCACCCGCCACAAGCTGTGAATCCCCGCCACAAGCTGTGAATCCGGCATGCGGATATATGTAAATATCGTCAGCATGCCAAACCCTGCCTGGACCTGTTTCTGTTCGACAATGTTCACGCAGATCACATGACATGTAGGCTCCCACAGGTCCCATCAGAGCACCCCAGTTGCCTTTGGCGCCTTGTGGCACTCTCTGCAGGTATCCGCTCCCATGCGCAAAGGCTCTAGTGCACCAATCTTCGGCAGGATGCGAACGCCGGTCAAACTATCAAAGCTTCACATCATTTCAAAAGCAGCGTACGTACATTCTTATCGAACAGCAGGAGCAGGTTTAGGTGCCGTACAAGTCTACGAATATGCATCCGAACTACATGCAACTTACCCCGTAAAATCTGTTCCACTACCTCTCCACAGGAACAGTTGTAACGCATAGGGCTGCAACGCAAGGTCGCAATGCGGACGTTGAGCACATGCATGCCGAAAGCCAGCTTCGACACAATACAGTTCCGTCCACATGCATGCCGAAAGCCAGCTTCAACACAATACAGTTCCGTCCACGAAGAGCTTTCTCATGCTTGCTGCTTTCTGGAAGTGTAGCGTTGGCGAATGCTTTAGTCGACGTGAAGAGTGCCGCACAAAAGGATATAACGCTGGACAGCTCCCATTCCCTCAGTGCTTACTCTGTGGAGTCGCTGCATATACTTGATAGATATAGGCCAAAAACATACCGGATAACAGCGTGCAGTAACAAATGACATTTGTTCGGGAAATGGAAAGCTTGACAGACTCCACATACTCCACATGCCCCATTTCAGACACAGAGCCTACCACCATACGCAACTTCGTTGCCAATGCCGCAAAGCCTGTACCAAAACCGAATGGCCTTCCGTACGACTCTCCTGTGATGTATTGCCAAAGCTCGTAAGGAGGCTTCTGCATAGCAGATTTCCAGTGTAGTTTCACAATGAAGTGTTCTATCTAAGCAAACTCATTTTCCTGAAACTCCACTGGAAACCTGTTCTGCCAAAGAAGCAGCCGCCACCCTGTTCTACCCAGGCGCCACCACTCGAGACGGCATCCATGTAGATATACATCCATATCTGTGTTCACACTGCGCAGGGCAGCATGCGAGTGCAACATATCTGATCGTATGAATAATCGTAGCTCACTTCCGACTTTCCACCTGCATTCGCATTTGACTGCTTTTCCAAAGCCTCAAGGCACTCCCATACCAACGCCTGCACTCCTTGCTCCAGTGTCTGCATGGCCAAAATATTGTCTCAAACCTTAGTTGCTGCGGGCTTCACCTTGTTGCACCTCGAGAACCTACCAAGTCCAATACTCACCTAAAGCCCACGGATAACCATGCCACTGCAGCCATATATATTCAGACTTGTTGGCAGCCGTGCACAAGTTACAGACATATAACGATGCCGAGGCGTTCCACCGAACGTACTCCCTACGGTATGCAAGTGCCAGTACTTCGGTGTTCCACCTCTCCGATTCCGCAGCCACGCTTTTCCAGTTATCCACTTGCCAATGCGCATGCACAGACATTCTTTGCGGCAAAGCTTTCCCTGGGTCCAGTCCGCTACATGCAATGGATGCAGAGCTTTTGTCAGCCAAGACATACAGAGCAAGAGCGTGAATCTCCTGTTGCAAGCCTCCTCATATGCAATCCGTATGCGCTAGAATTTTCGTTGGACTGTAGGGCCCTGAAGCACTGGATGACCAAAATCGCCGCAGCAACTGCGGCAGCCAGGAGGGCAATCGCTACGAGCGGAGATTTCCTGTGTCCCCATTTGGGACGCAGGTCATTATCTAGGAAATTGATCTCGGAATCGAAAATAGCAGCTGTCGGGTCTTCAGCAGTGCCACTCGCTTCCACTAGAAGTGCCATGGAGGCAGCGAGAAGTGGGGTGAGCATACACATCGTGGGTATCGCTTTTAGTATTGTGTTAGTGTCTTAGGTATAAGATGAAAAGCAGCTTTCAATGGATTCCAATATAAAAGGTAGAATTTCAGTGTAGATATGGGAGGCATGCAGCGTTTGGACTGCAGCCCGTTCACCTCATGCGCCAAACTGTTCTGCAATGGCGTATGCACGCACGATCCTAAGGCAGTACGTCTGCCTCTGCAGGTGGGAAGAGCATGCATATTTTCCTTCAGTACGGTAATACATAAATATTATATTGCGAAACAAAAGGTGGTAGTTACTGTGGTGCCTTATGTGTAGCCATACCTGCCTGTGGAACTTTCGTTGGATGCTCGACTATACGTGCATGCAGAACTCCATTGAAAATAAAGTGCGGAGATAAGTCGCCAGACTCTAATAATGGAGTTGGTCTACTTAGTGCTAGCTTTCTTGGATTCTAGGAGCATATGTGGCTTGATAAGTCTGAAGTTGAGACGAGTATTCCTACTTTGCAGCGAGCGCACTTGAACTTTGTGAGGTGGGTCGTGGATCATCCGGAGGTGAATCGCAGTGGAAGCAGGAGACACAGGATGAGACTTCCTTAACTGAAAATGTTATTCCCTTTAAGTATCCAGGCTTTGTGGGTTCAGCGGTTCACACGCCTGGAGCTCCGGCTGAGTTGGTGCCAAGCCATGTGTCGCAACGCGCCTTGCTGCAAGTCAGCGTGTAAAAACGCCTCGCGTAGACGCACGAACAAGCTGTATGGATACGCACTGTAGACATCCGTAGAGAGCCTGTGCGTGCTTGAAGACAGGGAAGGGACGTCGGTTACATTCAAGTAAATCTAATATACGTTTTATGGCTCAATTGCAGCTGCCAGTACTCCTCATCAAAGATACACGACCCGGGTTAATCTTTGTAGCACCTCGTGGTTCAAGGGTTGTAGACGCGGACAACGGCAAGCACAGCAAGGGGCTTGTTGCACAGGCAACACAGGGAACTCCAGTACTGCTAATGCGTGTTGTACAGTACTGGAGGCACGCACATACGAAACCAATCCTCTTCGAACTTCCCGAAGTGTTTTTCATATATCAGCCGTTTACATCCCCTGCAGAGTGGATGGTGGTCAAGGTTTGCCCTCTGGGGGGAGGCGACCAAAGTTCGAGAGCCCTGTTCAGTGGAGTCAAGAACAATTCATGCATGAACGGAACACTTTCTTACAGTGGACGCGTTTCCTGGAGAATGCGTCTGTGTTTGTCCGTCGTCCAGAAGTGACGGTCACCACGATGGGGGGCAAGAGGAGAAGTTTCGTGTCTCTATGGAGCTTGATGTTCGACTCCAATTATCACCACACGGATCACAGTTGCTATTGGCACATTTGCTATTAGGACGGAAGCTACGACAGTAGTGGATACGTCTAAGCAAGAATACTGTTTGGCGGAGCACATCCTGACTATACAAGCTTTCCAGCACTTCCTACCTAGATCCCCACGGGACTAGGCTATGGACGACTGGATGAGGCACATTGGGAGCTGTCGGTAGCCAAAAGTATCAGTCATTAGAGAACATTGTGGTGAGAAGTTCAGCGATGGACTCGGAGGCTCCGTATCAACGGTTCATTGCGAGCCTGTCCACGGGTGAACGGCAATCGGTAACCGGCTGGACAACGGATAGGTATCGAAGAGGTGAAGGGGTCGACCTCGCAGTGTTGATGGATTTCTTACGCATCAAAGGTAGGAAAAACAGCACGTGCATCACCATAGCTGAGACATCGGCGAATTTGGGAGAGCTCCGGATATTGTGCCAAGGAATGTTGCGGCTGCAAGCTCGGGCGCCACAAGGAGAGCGACGAACAGAAGAAATCGCATAAAGCCTTGGAGATCCGCATTCAAGATTCCCCAAGGATGTACTGAGCGGCTCTTTTGCTATTTTCGCAAACTTGTGCTGCTTGCACGATGGGGACCAGATTCAGCATAGTATCTGGGACGGTGTCATGTATGTCCAAAGTGGGCACGTCAACACTTCTGCCGCCCCAATAGACAAACGGTAGGCCAACGAAAGCTCCCAACAACTCTTTACAGTGCTTGGGCATAAGCAAGAATGCTTTATTGTGGTTGTATGTGGAGCTACATTGCACCTTTAGGTGAGCTGCAACTCACCTCAGCAGCCTCCTTCCTCTTCCGCAGCTCCAGGTGTTTGAGCCGCTGAGCTGAGGAAGCCTGGAGGGTGGGGGAGCAGGTTGGTTGCATTCAAGGACTCTCATCTTGAGTACCCTGGCTCCATTACAACTCTCAGTACTCCTCGGAAGATATTTGGGGCCCACGTTACAAGTACTACGATAAGGTCCCTCCGATGTTTTCAATTCCATCTGACATTGGCACGAGCCCTGAGTTACGGGTGCAACTGGTTGCTCTTTCTGCCCCACCATCGCGTTGCACGATGCTTGGGAGACTAGGCGCTTCAGCGATCGCTTAGTTGATTCTCCATGCGGCCCTGCAATGCTCCAAGGATTGCAAAGCGACTCATCTGTTTCTCCTGCAAAAATGGCTACATATTTTAAGGCTGTAAACGTGTGAATAGAGCAGAGGAAGCGGAGAAACATTACTTTCTTCATGTGCCTCCAGCGTTCTGACTGTCGAATTCTCCCACTCTTTGCTGCTTCCACTTGCATTCAAAGTCCCCATATACAGATGGAGATGGATATTCACACAAGCATGCCGTGAATGTCCATCTCCATCTGCTTTTCGTAGAGGTGCTTCCCAAATGTAGGAACCCTTATGCAATCAGCAATAGGGGGGCCATCAAAATAACCAGAAGGTGCCCAATGTTTTTAATCCGTTAAGTTGGTGCTGAAGGCCCCCCGGAGCCATCTACAAAGATTTCTGGCCTGTGGGCTAATCTAGCTTCTCCATTGAAGAAACAGAAGACTACAAGGCCACCCAAAAGAGGCCGTCAGTTGAAAGGTTCGGACGAACCAATACTATTCGGTGCTCTACTTTTCCAAGGGTCTGCAGCGGCAGCCAGTTGCACCACGAGCACTCCCCCTTGAAGCAGTTGCTAAAGTGCAGCAAAACTCCCCAGCACCAGCAGTTTCTTCTGGTGTTTGATTTGTTGAAAACTCAAATTCCTTGGCGTTCTCGTGAGCCCCGCCATCAAGATCTGCTGCAGGTGCAGCTGATTAACCTGCCGTCACGCATGCTGTTACAGCTGACTGCGCAGCAATAGCTGCAAAATCGGCAGTCACTCCCCAGTCCGCCAAGGAACCGCTCTGCCCTTGTCATCTTTTTCCCCATACCGCAAACTCTGCAGCATTTGCTTCAGCTGCTACGGAGACACCGCAGGTGGCAGCCGATCGGCTGGCCCTGCAGCTGCGTTGCTGCAATGGCGAGTGCTGGTGAAGCAGGGGCTGGGGGTGGCAGGGCCCGTTTCTACTGCTGGTATCAGTTGCTGCAGTATAAGAAGCTGCTGTCTGCACACACGCTCCCCTTCGTTGGGGGACGGGTTCCTGGTCCTTTGGTTGTGTCTCCAGCAGCAGAGCAGCAGCTAGAAGTGCATGGACAGCAGTCAGGAGCTGACGGAGGGGGAGAAATAAAGGCGAACTTGCAGCCGAAGAAAATTTAAGCAGTGTAACACGACTTGCTGAAGTGATCATCACACCCTGTTGCTGTTGTTGCTTCTGCTTGCGTGGCACCCGCAGCCGACTCCACTCGAAGATCCACTGGAACGGCAGCAGCAACAGCAGCAACAGGAGGAGCGACAAGACCAGCTGCAGCAATGAATTGGTACTCTGAGTCCTCATTAAATTGGTTTGTCTCCTATCCTACCCACTCTTCATTTTTTCCGTATACTGTGGGCTAGCACCGCCCGCAGTTGAGGCATCTCGAGCACAAGCAGCTGCTGCGGGAGGAATAGGAGCAGCAGCAGCATTGCTGCAGTATCTGATTGAACGTGGCAGCAGCACAAACAACAGCGTAAAACAAAAACTCGAGCAAATTTGCTCCTGCGATTCAACTGCAGAATTCACACGATCTTGCAGCCGCCAATTTTGCTGACGCCCAACGCTGCTACTGGCGTTCGTGATGCTGTCCTAATACCTGCTGTAGCTGTTGTTGCTGCTGATGAGGTAGCCTGCAGCAACAAAAGCATCATAGGCAGCTGAAGAGCCCAATGGGGCCCTCAGGGGCCCCTGGCAGCCAACACGCAGCAAAGGGGATGTTGGGGGCCCCACAGGGTAATGCTAGGGATAGCCCATCAGCAACGGAAGAAGAAGCCCTAGCATCGAAGACGGCCGCAGCAGCAACAACACCTACAAGTGCAGCCACTGTAACAGCAGCAGCAGCGCCACCAGTAGCATCAACAGCCTCCCCAGAAGCATCAGCAACACTGCAGTCGGTGACAGGCTGTCGGACACAACGCCCTACAAAAGCGGCTGAGCCTTTGCATTCAGATTGTCGTCAACAGAAGCGCGAGCAGCAGCAGCGTGAGCAGCATGAGAAGCATGAGCAGCATGAGCACTATGTGCATCAGCAGCATCAGCAGTATGAGCAGCACCAGCATCATCAGCATGAGCAGCACCAGCATCATCAGCATGAGCAGCACCAGCATCAGCAGCCTGAGCAGCAACAGAATCAGCAGCACCAGCAGCAGGAGCAAGGGCAACATCAGCAACAACACCGTCAACACGAGCACCAACGGCAGCAATCAGGGCTACAACTGCGTGCAAATCAGCAACAACAGCAGCAGGGAAAAAAGCAGAGGAGGCAGCAGCAGCCAAAGCAGCAGATATCGGTGCTGCAGCGGCTGCTGCAGGAGCTTGATGAGGCCGGAGAGGCCCATACGAGCGACGACAGCAGCAGCAGGGTGTTGAAACAGAAGCAGCAACAGCAGCAGCAACAGCAGCTGCAGCTAGCAAAGAGGCAGGCACTGCTACGGGCAGCAGCTGCTGTTGCTTCTGATACTGGGTTGGAGTGTCTGTACACCTGGAAGCCACTTCACGTTGCTTCGGACAGATCCCCCTCAGCTGCTTGTTCGCGCTGTAGTGCGAACACCCGCCGCCGCTTGCGACGCCCGTACTTGGAGCTCCAGGAAGATGCTGCAGCAGCACCAAATCACGTAGCTGTAGCAGCTGAAGCAGTCGCTGCATATGACGCAAATGGAACTGCAACGGCAGCAGCAGGAACGGTGACGGCAGCAATAGCAACAATACCGCCAGCAACGGTCATACTAGGCCCTGTTACAGAAAATGACCTTGACACAAGTTGTGCTGCAGAAGAACAACCAGCAGCAGCAGCAGTAGGGACAGCAGCAGCAGCTGGAACGGCAGCAGCAGCAGCAACACGAGCGTTAGCAGCGGGTGCTGCGCAGCACACCTGCAGCTGCCAGCATCACTTCGGCGCCTTATTGGAGGCTAGAGGCTCCAACACTCTCAGGTTGTCTCTTGTTGCTGCTGAGCAGCCTTCAGGCCCGCTTTTTCCTACAGTATCAGCAGCAGTAACTGCAGCAAACATAGTAGCAACGGCAGCAACACAGGAGGGTGGAAGCGCGGCGCCGACAAATGCCGGCCCTGGATCAGCAATTCCAGCTACCGCAGCAGTCGCTGTTGATACTCCTCGTGCTGCTGCTTCTCCTGCTGGTGCATTCGCGTCCCCTGTTGCTGCTGTTGCGGCTGCAGAAACAGCCCCAGCTGCGCCTCGAATCGCTGCGGAATGTGCGCTGCGGGCAGATGCAGCACTGAGGAGTTTGGGGGAAGATTTGCTTCAGGTGCTGACAACCAAAAGACACCTCCTGCCACTGTGCCTCCGTGCCGTTGTGCTTCGCGCTGCACCTGCAGGTGCTGCTGCTACTCCTACTGCTGACCTTGCTACTCCTGGTGAACCTGAGGGAGCGGGTGGACCAGCAGAGGATGCAGAAACAGCAGCAGGTGCAACAGGCAGCAGGAGGAGGCCCTCAGCACGGCGGAAACGGCATGTCTCAGCTGCGGAGGATCTTCTTGAAGGGCTTATACCGATCAGCAGCAGCAGCAACAGCAGGAAGTGGGTGTGGGTAGTTAAGGTTTCTCTTTGTCTAATGACAAACTGTTGCGGCTCCCCTCGCGACGCGCCGCCAATCTTCTCGGAGTGCCGAGCCAAAGCAGCACAATGGTTTGTTTCTTGTTGCTTCTGCTGTTGCCGTTAGTGTTGTTGCTTGTGCTACAGGCACTTCCCCTGTCGGTCGTGTTTCTGCTGGCATTACTGGAAATGCCAGCGCCGTGGGTGCCGCTGTGGCTGACGCTGTTGTTGCTGTTTCAGGCAGTTAGGGCACAGTACCTTTTGCTCTTGTTGCTGCTGTTGCTGCAGGCTTTTCGGCAGGATGCTAGGTCAAACGTCTGTGCTTCCTGCCGCAGCAACTGCTCCAGCAGGAGAGGGGACGGCGACTCCGCGGCATTTCTTCGTGAGCCCTTCTTTTATATACAACCTTGTGTCTCAGAGGCGCGCCGCGCACGAACAGGAGCAGCATCTAGAGGATCAACTTCACGGCAGCCGCACGGGCAGCAGCATCAGTACCAGGAAACGAAGTGTGGCGTTTGCAGGAGTGGAGCTGCTGTCCCCGCCGGGGCTGCGATGTCGGCTGCGGCCATATCAGCAGCGCGCTGTCCTCTTTGCCCTGTTCAGAGAGTGGCGGACCCTCCTTAGCAGCAGCAACAGCAGTAGCACTAGCTACGTTAACAACCGTTGGGAATACAGCGTGGAGGACCTAGGGCTACAGCAGCAGCAACTGCTGCACGCCCTCCAGCGGCAGCAGCAGATGAAACAGCAGGTTAATCTGATGTGGCATAAAGTGCTGCTGCCTTCTGCTGCTGCCGTTTGGGTCAATCAGACCACTGGCCAGGTTGCTGTTTGTTCGCAAGCAGCACCAGCGATAGCAGCAGCAACAGATGCCGTTTCGGCGGCAGGAGCTGCAACAGCGGGACCGATTGATGTTCCACCGACAGCCGCAGCAGCATCTCCAGCACTCTCATCATCTGCATCTGCACCGCCATTCGGAGCAGAAGGAGCAGCAAAACCAACAAAACCAACAGCCAAACCAACATCAGAAAGTGAAGCATGTGTGGGCTTCGACGTACGTGGTGGTTTGCTGTGTGACTCGATGGGACTGGGGAAGAGTGTGGAGGTGATAGCCCTCATCTTGGCAAACCCCAAACCCCAATCCACTGTTGCTGCAGATGTTGATGCTGCAACAAACACAGCAGCAACAGTAGAAGTACCAGCAGCAAAGGGAGCTATTTACAGCTGGGGAGACAAGATGCCCCCTGATAGTCTTATCTGCTGCATCTGCGCTGCTGACACGTTGGGGCCCCTCGGCGTCAAGGGGGGACGCAGGTGGAACCCGCGGCAGCCTTCACGGACCCTACAGAAGCAGCTGCAGAAGCAGCAACAGCAGAAGCAGCAGCAACTGGAACAGAAACAACAGCAGCAGCACCAAGAGCCAGATTGTTCGCTGCTAGCAGTCGTGCAGTGCTGCTGCTGCTCGGCTTTCTCGCATGTCTTTTGTGTGGCGGACTATCTAGGCGCTGCTGTCACTTTGCCTTTCACCTGTCCCTTTTGCTGCGCAGAGCGGCAAGAGGTTGCCGCCTGCAGCAACAGCAACTGGAACAGAAGCAGCAGCACCGCGTCATATGCTACCAGCAGCAGCAGCACGAGCACCAACGGCGCCATCACTACAAGCAGGAGCAACAGCAGCGCCTCCGTTGTCAGCAGCAGCAGCAACAACACCACCTCTGGAATTAAATCAAACAACAACTTCAGCAGCAACTGCGGCAGCAAGTTGCCCCAATCTCGGGGGACACTCCTTGTTTGCCCTGCAGCAATCGTAGGACAGTGGAAACGTGAAGTTGCTGTACACTCGGGTGTGTCACTGAAGGTCGCAGTATATCCGGGTCTCAAGGCCGCCAGGACCGCCCTCGCCAATATCGTAACAGACCCTAAACCCTAAACCCTAAACCCTACGTACAGAACTTGAATCCAAGCGACTGCCAGCAGGTGGCGGGTTCTGCCTCTACTCTTGGCTCCATCACTGCAACGTGAAGAGAATTACGGGTATAAGGTGGTTCGGGGCCTAGGGTGTAGAGTTTATGGCTTGGGGTGTGTGGGAGTTTCAGGTGACAGGGCTTGCTCGAGCTGAGGAGAAAACACTAACACTCTCTGGTGACCCCACGTCAACTGACCGGCGCGCCAACCGTGGGCCCCGTGCAGCAGCAGCAGCAGCAGCAGGTGAAGGGGCCTCTTCTCAGGGGACCTGTAGCCTGTCAGTGTCTCCTGATGCTGTCGCGAACGCTCTAGGGGGGGCCCCTGAGGGGCCACACGTGCTTCTACCGCAGCTGTTGGACTATGACCTCGTGATCGTGCCTTTCGAGGCACTGCAGCAGGAGGTTTGGTTTGCTCCTCCTTTCAGCCTCAGCGGCGCTAGCAGCAACGGCAACAACAGCAACAGCAGCAGTAGGATGGCCCTGCGAGGCACGAAGCGGTATCGCAAACTTTTCTCCCCCATTTTAGGCATACGATGGTGGCGGCTTGTCATCGACGAGGCTCAGCTGGCCGGCGGTGAGGGTCTATCATTTGGGGTTTAGGGTTTAATGTTTAGGGTTTGGAATATGGGGTTATGGGAGACGTCCACATCCCAAGTCACCGCGTGGGCGCTGAAGTATCTCTGCAGCTCCTGCTGCTGCTAGTTGCTAGTGGCCTGCTGCTGCTTACACTTCACCACCCTTGTGCTGCCTTGTGCTGCTCGTGCTGCTGCCTGTTTGTACGTGCTGCTACTGCTGCTTGCGCTGATGCTGCTGCAGGTTTCAGTGGGGCGGCGCGTTTATGCCATTCCATTGAAGCTGTTCATCGGTGGTGTGTCTCGGGTACTCCGCTTTTAGACGAATTGGCTGGAGAGGGACCTCTGGGGCCTCCAGGAACTCACAAGGGGGCCCCGCAAGCGCCGCGAGGCTCTCTGCTGCCTCGTGAACTCGCAGGACTTCTTGCAGCGCTGCGCCTTTCCATGGACTGCATATATCACGCGGGGCCTGCGTTGCTGCAGTGAGTCAGAGGTTTAGGGTTTAGGGTTTAGGGTCTGAGGTCCATAGGTGCGTTCTCTCAGTTGCAGGTATAGCCCCTCTGAGGACTAGAAACTGCAGGTTTTGTTAAGAAGGCAAGACAGGCGGTTCAGGGTTTATTTGCTCCGATGTTGTGTTTACGGCTCAGGCGGGCGTTTCAAGGCCTTTCTCTGCCGCTGCCGCAGAGCGCCCTAGAGGACGACGACCCTTCCAGCAACAGCAGAAGCAGCATTTTAGAAGGACATGTGGGGCCCCGGTGGGGCCTCACGGGCTTCGCTCTTAACGCTGCTGTTGACTTGTTGACCCCGTTGATGTGGAGGACAGAAATGAGCGGTGAGGGTGTAGGGTTTAGGTATACGAATTAGATTTAACGGTCTCGCGTCAAGGTTTTGGAGAGGGTTGTATTTATGGCTTGTGAGCTTAAGGTGTAGTTGTTGGCGTTAAGAGTTTGTTAGCTTGGCATTGTTTAGTTTAGGGGAGTTGGCGCGTAGGTTTTGGAAAGGGTTGTATTTATGGCTTGTGAGCTTAAGGTGTAGTTGTTGGCGTTAAGAGTTTGTTAGCTTGGCATTGTTTAGTTTAGGGGAGTTGGCGCGTAGAGTTAAGAGTGTTTGGCAGTGACATGAGCAGAGAAGCGGCGTTTTTGAGGTTTTTCAGTATCCACCTGTTAGGGGTTAAGGTGTGCGCAGAGGTGTCTGAGGAACTCGGAGTGCCTCCCCCTATAATTCATGACATTTGGGTGGAGTTGGGGCCCGTTGAGCGTTTCTTCTATCAGCGGCAGCAGCGGGCTGTGGCGCAGCGCGTGCTGAGGCTTTGCAGCAGGCAGCAGCAACAGCAACATCAGCAGCAAACGGACGGGGGGAGGCGATGCGGCGCTGGCGGTTGCAACAAGGCAGCAACAGCAGTAGGAGCATTAGCAGCAGCAGGTGCTGCTGATGAAAAGGGCCGCGTTGCTGCTGCATTCTCTTCTCAAATGGCTGCGATGCTACTTGTGCTGCGGCAGGCAGCAAACCATCCGCAGCTGGGGGCATTGGGCCTCAGCAGCCGGCGCAGCAACAATAGCAGCAACAGCAGCAGCAGCAGCAATGGAGCGGTATCCCGCAGGACAGAAGGCTTGGAGGGTGTCGGCCGCTATATGTCAATGGATGAAGTACTCTGCCGCCTCCTCGGAGACGCCCGAGTAAACCCAGAACTCTTAACCCTAGCCTTAACCCTTGACGAATCCTAGCCCCTCAACCCCTCCGCCAGATCCCTGTTCCTTATGCCGTGAAGCTGGGAGGCCCATTTAGAATTCTTACTCGTGCGAATTGGTAGCAAACGCGAAATTCACCACTGTATGGGGTGAGGCAAAATGCGTGTATCGGGAGTAGCGCCTACGGTTTAGGGTTTGCCCGCAGGTAGAGTTGGAGGAGGCACTGCGGGCCTACTGCGCTGAGGTTAACGGCATCGCTGGCCTCTCGCTGCTGCAGGGAAGACCAGCCCGTGCTGCGCTTCTCTACCTGTAAGCCGAATTCGGGTTTAGGGCTTAGGGTCTGTATGGCATAGGATTTGAAATTGGAGGATGTTTGTTGCATTTGGCCAGTCTGCAGTAAGGCGGGTGCCCGGACGGGATTTTTCCTGTCAAGACTCTCTCCCTGCACTGTGGGGTTTATCCCCAAGAGCGTGTAATTAGGGTTTAGAGTTTCCTGTTCAGAGTTTGTGGGGGTTTAGGCACGTGCTGGAGCTTTCGCGGCGTTCGGTGGGAGGGCCTGACTTGGGGCGGACCCTTGCCGATTATTTGGGGGCCCCTGAGGAGACAGTTGGGCCCCTCACTTTGGGCCCAACTCTTTTCCACCCACTAAGAGCAGCAGGACACCATATAGACAAACTGCAACAAATCCATGCAGCTTTCAACCTACACCAGACTCTTTCGAAAGGGCCTCTGAAGACCTCCGCCAGCATCAGCAGCAGCGGAGGTGGCAGCAGCAGAAGCAGAACAGAGGGGGACCGGGAAAAAGTTGTGCTTCTGGGGGGCAGCGGTGGTACGGCTGTGGCATCAACAGGGCAACAAGCAACGCGAGCTGCTGCTGCAGGAACAGCAGCAGGGAACGACTCGACATCAGCCCTTTCCTCCTCTCCAGTGGTAGAACCTGCCTCGGGTGCATCAACAGTATCCGCAGCAGCAGCAGCATCAGCACAGGCAGCGGTAACACTACCAGCAAGAGGTGAAGCACATGCCGCTGCGGCAGTAGACTTGGCATGTGCCTCATCAACGGCAGCAACCCCATCAGCATCGTCAGCAGCAAGATCGTCAGGAGGAGGAGCAGCAGCAGCTGCTGCTGCTGCTTGGGATTTGTTTCAGCGTTTGCGCAGCGAGTATGCCTCTAAGGCTGTAGGAGAGCTGGTGCGAGTAAGGGAGGCCTTCAGGTTAAGATTTGCAGAGACAGAAAAACTGCGAAATGAGCGGGTATTAGTTTGTGCAGGTAAGAAATGCCCCCCAGACAAGGCTATGGGGGCCCCAGGTAGCGCCAAGCGCAGCAGTACCCAGGGCACAGCAAGAGCAACAACAGATTCCGGTTGCCCCATGGAAGAGGCGAGGGGCTTCCGTGAACAACAGGGGCCCCTGGGACCCGAACACAACCCTGACGTGGGCATGGAGAAGAGCAGCAGCAATAAGGGAAGCTCCCCTAGCCACGATGGGGAAACGGCGCTGCAGGAGCTGCTGCAGGCAGAAGAATGGAGAAGAAAAATGGGAGGAGGGCGGTGGTTTGTAGCCCTGGCAGGACTCGAAGAGGAACGCAGCAGAGCCCTCGCTGCCAGGTCCGGCCCCAAACGCTAAACCCTAAACCCTAAAACTTAGAAACACGTTTGGCGGACAAATCGTACACACTGACCCATAATAATAAATCCGAAACTCTCGTCATCAACATGAAACTATAAGCACTGCCCTTTAGCAGTACACGGAAACTCGAAACCCTCTGGCACCTAAACCCTCAACCCCTATATACCGAAGTGCTAAACCCTCGTACACTCATACCCGAGACCATAAGTACGTCTGTGCGGTTGGGATGCTACGCGCCAGGGTGAAGGCACTGTCAACGCCTGCTGTGTATACACTGTTGAGTTTTAGGGTCTGGGTTTAGGGTTTCGGATTTGGGGTTTTTCTGCATGCAGGGTGCGTGAGGAGTTATTCAGCTCGCGCGGAAGCAGCAGCAGGGAGGAACGCTGGGGCTGGCAGCTTGCTGCTGGATGCGCCGCAAAGAAATTCCATTTGGGGGGAGTCACTAGTTGCAGGGGTTTAGTGGCAGCTCTCGAAATGGCCCTCGATGAGCTCGACAGCAAGCGAGAAGAGCTCATACGCGTACTAAATCCCTAAACCCTAAACCCCTCACCTTTGAGCTCAAACCCCGATTTGCCTTCAGCAAAACACCTTGCAACCCCTCACGGGTGTCGACAAAGCAGGGCCGTTGTTTAAGATTTAGATTTAACATTTAGAGTTTATGGCTTATGGATTACGGGTTAGGGTTTAGGGTTTGTGTGCAGACGTTGGAGTCGCTCGACCACGGGGGAAGCCCGTCGCCGCAGCTGCAAGCAGCATTTGGGTCTTGTCCCCGCTGCAATGAGTTGTTTCAGGCGGACATCCTGCACCTGCAGCAGCAGCAACAGCGGAGCAGAACTTGCAGCCAAACCGCCAACCTCTACCTGCCGCCGCAGCAGCAGCTCGGCAGCAACTCATCGCCACGCAAACGCAGAAAGAAGGGGAGAGCGGAGGAGCGGCTCCCGGGCTCTCTCTGTTTCCACTGCGTAGCAGCCCAGAAAATCACCAAGTAAACCCTAAACACTACAGGCTAATCCATAAGTCATTTTTCGGACTTTTGAGCAAGCATGGATGTTGCCGTAGAGTGGGCTGAATTAGGGTTTAGGGTCTAGGGCCTGTGGTTTAGGGTTTGTCGTTGCAGCTTACAGTACTTTCTCTACAATCGCGTTTCAAAGAATCTGGATGCTGTCACGGCGGATCCCTCCAGTAATATTGTAAGTCGCTTAGGATATAGGTTTACGATTTCCCTTTTAGGGTTTAGGGTTTAGGGTCTTGGTTAATGATGCGGACATGTCTGCGTGTATCGGAGGTGTCTGCGTTCGTTTCCCCTGCATCGGACGGTCGGCCTTTGGGGGGACTACAATTTCGCCTTAAAGGTTTAGGGACTAGCGTTTAGGGCTTTGTGTGCAGGAGGGCTACCACCACTTTGGAGACAGCGAACTGCTGCGGTGCCTGCAGTTACTCTGCAGCTTCACACGCAAAGACAACGGAGCGGTTTTGTGGGGCCACTTAGGGGCAGCAGCAGAAATCCATCTTAAGGAGTTTGAAAGCCTCAAGAGAGTCCGCAAGCAAACTGTGAACCCTAAATCCGAAACACTACGGGCTTGGGCTAGTGCTTGGAAATCTTAGTGGTTCGTGGGTTCCTCATGGTCGAGGGTTCACGCTAGAGACTCTTTAGGGTTAACCATTTGGGGTTGCGGGCTCGGGGTATACAATTTAAGCGCAAACGCTTAGGGTGTACGGTTGAGGTTTTGTGCTGCTGCTGCTGTAGGAGTTGTCTGCTGCTGGTGCATATCTACTGGGCAGCCGAGGTGTTCTATCTGCCTTCGATGAACTGCGCATGTCAGTCGCTCGTTTCTTTTTAAAGACAACAAAAAACGGTTCCTGCATTCCTGCTTCTCCTTGTGCTGCTGCTGCTGCATCACCTGACGCTAGTGTAGCAGCAGTTGCATCTCCAGCAGCAGGACATGCAACAACAGCAGCAGCAGCAATCCAGCCAGGAGGACCAGTCGAAGCCGCACCTACCGCAGAAACAGAGACAGAAGCTGTTCAACTCGGACTAGAACCAACAACAATAACAACAACAACAGCAGCAGCAGCAGCAGCCGCAGCAGCAACAGAAGCAGCTGCCTGGTCAGCAGAAGCATCGTTGCGGCAAGAGCTGCTGCAGCAACGCTGTGGTTTGAGTCCCCTGGAAGTTTCTGTTGTCTCTTCTGAGCTATTAGCTGCCTTGCAGTTTTCAAGGGATAGAATTGTTATTTGCTTTACACGCCACCAATACCTCAAGTCTTTAAAAGATAAACAAAACAAAATCATTAAACCCCCTCCTGCTCCTCCTCCGCCTGCTGCTCCTACAGCACCTGCTGCTGCAGAGATTCCTGCAGGGGCTGCTGATCCAGCTGGTGACGTTGCTGCTGATGCTGCTGCTGCTCCTGGTGTTAGGGACAATTCTATGCAGGCAATTGCAACAACAGAAGAAGTGAAGGGAGTGGACACAAGGACTCCTGAAGCAATCGAGAGGTCCTCAAGAGCTGCCGCTGCTGCAGTGTTTAGGCAACAGCAACAGCAGCAGCAGCAGCAAGCCCAATGCGAGCAGAAGCAGGAGCAAGGCCAAGGTTGGCAGGACCACTTGTTAGGGCAACAACCTGCTGTCAAGGAGGAGACAGAACAACAACGGAAGCATCCACAGGAGCAACATGAGAAGCAGGAGCAACAGCAACAGCTCCAGCACGAGCAGCAGCAGCAGCAACAGCAACAAAAGCAACGACAGCAGGACGAAGAAGAGCCTCAACGCTGCCCCATTTGTTTACAGGGGCTGCAGGCTGGGGACTGTGTGGTGGTGCTTCCATGTGGGCATTCGATTTGCCTCTTGTGTCTGCAGAAGCTGCAGAAGCAGCAGCAGAAGCAGCAGAAGCAGCAGCAGCAGCGACAGACACAGCAAAAGGGGCCCTTCCTCCGGTGTGTTATCTGTCGCCAGGGGTTCAGCCTCTCGGGTGCAGCTCTTGTGACATCTGCTGCTAATGCTTCTTCCGAAGCCTCCAGAACTACAGATAGCCAGCAGCCGCAGCAGCAGAAGCAGCAAGCGACTTCTGACGACTCGCGCATTCCCTCTCCCGAGCACGACCTAAGGAATACCGAAGTGCGAGTTTGCGTCTTTTGAGTGTTTCATTGTACTTTCTATTTTTTTCATGCAGTGTTATCTTAAGTGCATAATAATAATTTGCATATAATAATATTTGCATAATAATATTGCTCTCCCCATATATATATATATATATATATATATA